ATTTTTTTTTACCATAAATATACATTGACATGCACAAAAGAATGAACATTAAACATAACACTTACCTTTATTGAAGGCTGTTGTTGCTGGAAGGAAGACAGGGAGGACGGGAGAGTGAAGAGAGGTTATTTTTAATGCCACTAGGACCAGCTTGAGTCACTGGACCCCTGTCACACAAAATATCTGTCCAGATAGGTCTGTTTCTGGGGTCTCTAAGATTTGCCTAAAATGGGACATGGCATTGTCATTGTAAAAGTCGCCAGCACGGATTGCAACAGCTTTCTCAGGGTAATGTTGCTCCACAAATGACTGCACTCTAGTCCACATTGCACAAATCTCCTTAATCTCTGTAGAAGGCACCTGCTTCCATCTCTCTTCCTCCTCCTCTGCAACAATTTCCTGTGCTGTGGTCTGTTGCAGTTGCAGATGAAGCTCTTGCAGCTCATCATTGGTTAGCTCTTCATTGTGGTCCTCCACCAACTCTTCCACATCGTTACCACTCGCATGCAACCCCATGTAATTCCCCAATGCCACAATTGATTGCACAACAGATGTAGGGTCGACATGGTCAACCTCAAACCCTTCAAAATCCTTCTTTTGGATACAATCTTCCCACAGTTTTCCCCAAGCAGAGTTCATCATCCTGGAAGTCACTCCCTGCCAAGCCTTATCTATAAGGCCTATGCAGTGGAAGATGTTGAAATGATTCTTCCAGAACTCTCTTAGGGTCAATTCAGAGTCTGAGGTTATGTCAAAGCACCTTTGAAACATTGCTTTGGTGTACAGTTTTTTGGAGTTTGCAATGATCTGCTGGTCCATGGGTTGGATGAGAGGAGTTGTGTTAGGAGGCAAAAACTTCACTGTTACAAAGCTGAATTCCTTAGACAGTTGGTCTTCCAAGTCTGAAGGATGAGCAGGAGCATTGTCCCTTAACAGGACGCACTAGAGTGGCAATTTATTATCCAGGATGTATTTTTTCATGGTGGGGCCAAACACTATTAAACCATTCCAGGAAAATTTCCCTAGTGACCCATGCCCTACAGT